AGGGGAAGGGGAAGGGGAAGGGGAAGGGGAAGGGGAAGGGGAAGGGGAGAAATTTGCAGAATTAGAAGGGCAAAGTAAAAGGGAACATTGGGACATATTTCGGTCAAGTTTCAGGTTGTGGTTTAGTTTGGAGATGGCACTGGTCACCCTTGTTGATGCCTGTGGTGGAGCTGGGATGGGGTGGGGTGTCCATCGTTGGGCTTCTTGATATCTCAGCAGCCTTCAATATCATCAACTAAAGTATCCTTTTGGATCAGCTTCAGGGGTTAGGAGTGTGAGACAACATTTTACAATGGTTCTCTTACTCAATTTTAAATCGGTGCTACCAGTTTCTCTGTGTAATGAGAAATGCCCTCCTGGTTACAGCAAGAAGAAAGAAGAGGACAAGAAATGCTGCTGCTATGATTGTGTTCCATGTCCAGATACAATGTTCTCAAGCCAGGAAGGCATTCTCAGTTATATTATGGAATATATTCAGTATAAGGAAAATACATAAATATTCTATTCGCTGTTCTTATGTACTTTGTAGATTTCTTTTAGATATCATAGTGTATTACCATCATACTTTATACTGTAGATCTGGATTTTTAGACCTCTATGTTTGAATATCATAAGAACACCTTTTGGCAACAAAGGACCATCACATCAGATAATTCTGATGACCTTTTATGATTAATATTTTCTTGCAATTATGAAGAATAAGTTACAAATTTTGTTCCACTTTCCTTCAGTCTGAGAAGAAATGAGACTCACAAACATTTGAGGGTTTTAATGCCCTACTTGTTCAACTTAAAAGTACAGTGAGTTAAAAGTGAATGTGACAGCACCAGAGGAAAATACTTGGTGGCTGTGGAGATCTTCTCCATCTTGACCTCCAGTGCTGGGTTACTCAGTTGCATCTGTTCCCCTAAATGCTACATTATTGTGGTGAGGCCCGAACTGAATAGTCGAGAGCAGCTTATTTGAAGAAAGAAAGAAATCTGAGATAGGTAGTGAAGTTCCTTTATGTGTGCGGTGTGTCTGTATTTATGTATGTATGTGGCTTATTACCACCTCTCCTTTAGGAGCTCAAGGCAACATACATATGTTCCCTGCTATTTTTCCCCACAAGAGCCACCATGCAGGATAGGATTGCCCAGTGAGATTCCATGTCTGAAGATAAACTACAACCTAGTTGTCCATGGTGCCAGTCTACACCCTTAACATCCAGGAAGACAAAATAATTATGTGTGATTATGTGTCTTGTTACCTAGTGGTATTTCTCTTCTCTTTTATAAGTAAATAAATAGATTTAAGGATTGTAGACTGCAATTCAATTATAACTTAGAATATGCTAAACAGTTTGTTAATTATCACTTGCTTGTATATATATATAGATAAAATATATTTTTGTATATATTTCTGCATTATGGGGGCATGCCTTCAGGAACAATGGGTGAGAAGTGATCTAGAAGAACACCTTTCCTTGATAACACTTATCCTTATTCCTGCTGTAAGACAGGCTGCCCTCATTCTGACATAGAAGCCCCCATATATTCTAGCAAATTAACAAGATCACCACATGGATAATTTTAAGAACTTTGATTGAAACAATGAAATGATATTCTATGGATTTAGGAAACGGAAAGCAGATAGCCAGGAGCTGGTTGGCAAGGGAAAAAAGTGAATAAGTGAATGTGTCTTTGTATGAAAGTATACTTGGAAGTACTATATCTGGCCTGGAAGAAGGAGAAGGGGAAGAGGGAAGAAGGAAGAAGGAAGAAGGAAGAAGGAAGAAGGAAGAAGGAAGAAGGAGAGACAGAAAAGAGAGAATGATCATTCTAACCAAGATTTTATTTGATAGTCTTAATTTAGGTTGTAAAGGGTTTTTGGTGGTATTAACAATACTTGGGTACAACACAGTCAAAGACCAAATATTATCAATTACACTTCCTAGACAACCCTTTAATATGACTGTTATCCATGTTTATGCGTTAATCACTAACCGAGAAGAAGAGAAAGTTCATAAGTGTTATAGTCAAGTTCAGTTTGAAATTGACAGAACATGTGAGTAAGATGAGCTGATTGTTGTTGGAGACTGGAATGCCAAAACTGGGAATAGTGAGCAGAAATATATAGTTGGACTATATGGCTTAGAAAACTGAAATGAAGCAGGAGAAAAACGTATCAGTTTCTGCCAATGCAATTGTTTCTTTGCAGCTAACACAGTTTTCAGATAGTAAATTGATTCCAAGAAGGTGAAACAACAATGGAAGGAGTATTCTGAAATTCTCCACAGTAGAGATGCTAACAGCCAAGATATCTTAGAAGATATTCTCCAGATACAAGAACCTCTAATGCTAAATGATGAAGTTAGATCAGCTCTCTGGACATTTCAAAAACAAAAGGCTACAAGCAGTGATAGCATATCTATAGAAATATCTAAACCACAGTAGAAGAATCTAGTTTCCAGACTATGCCAGCAAATCTGGAGAATGACACCAACTGGAAGAGGTTAATCTACACACCAGAATTAAAGAAATAAGACTTAACAGAGTGTGCAATTTCACCTGCTAGCAGAATAATGCTTAGGGCCATTCAAAACAGATTAGAGCCTTACATGGAAAGGGAAACACCAGACGTTCAAGCTAGTTTCAGAAAAGACCAAGGAACAAGAAGCATTAATGTTGATGCCCTCTGGATACTTGAGAAAGCCAAAGAACACCAACAAGAAGTCAATATGTACATCATTGATTCTAGAAAGGCCTTGGACTGTAGAAAGGCCTTGGACTGGATTGACTGTATTTGGATTCCATTGGACTGGAAAAGTTATGGGTGCAGCTCAGGAGCCCATGTGACCTCTCTGCTATGCGAGTTACACTGGTTGTCAGTGAACCTCTGGCTACAATTCAAGTACTGGTGATCACCTATATAGCCCTTCCCAGCATAGGCCATGGCTATCTGAGGGACTGTCTCTCTCCCATTATTGCTGCCCACCCCATAAGTTCTGGCACACTTCCTTGCCCCTTCTCTTAAGCAATGTCATCTCATTCATTCCAAAGTTTAAGACATTGGAATAAGCCAAATCAAGTTGTTTTGACATTATACACATTTTTCACTTCTGCAAGATTACTATTAACATTACAGCTTTACCTGTGCTATATTTATCACAAATACTGTAATTAATGTCATAAGTCAACTCTCCAGAGATCTGAAAATTGCACTAGAGAACAATCAAACTCAGCTTAGTCAAAAACAGAAATAAAGGTCTATGCTCCCATTCATGCATTTGGTTAGGTTTGGGTGTCAGTCGGAACTCTCTCTGTCTGAATTTTGAGCGTCTTTGCATAGGTGAAGCTTCAGATGACTGATTCAGTCAATACTCAGGACATAACTTTGTAACTGTAAGAACTCTCTTGCCAGCAGTTAGAGGTCCATCAAATCAACTGGGATGAACCAAGGTTGACTGCTGGAATGGTGCTGCAGGGAAGCAGGAGAGTGACAAAATGCAGACAGATGTTTGGCTGCAGGACAATGGGGGCTATAGTACTGCTGAGAGTGGTTCTACTGCTGACCTCCCAGCTGACCATCACA